GTCCTATCGCCCAAAACGCCAACACATCAATACATAAAAACATGTGCCTACAATCAGCCAAAACACAAAACATCTACAAATTCCCATTTTTGCTGTGACACTGTTCTGCAAGACAAGAGCATCACGGTTTTGGGGTCGCTGAATCCGAATCCGGTGTCCGTTTGACCCGATCAGCTCTGGGTTAAGTTCAGTTCAAGGTCGAATATAGAGTATCAGTTACCAAGAAGCAAACAGACATAAAGATACGTTTTTAGGGTTGCTGAATCTGAATTCGAGGTCCCTTTGACCCGATCAGGTCTGTTAAACACTTTCACGTTAAGTATAAACTAAAAACACTCAAGTTAAGTATTAACGCATATTAAAATTTGACTAACAAAAAAGATTAAAGAAACCCCAAAGTGAGGAATTTGATTGGGTTTGAGGANTGAATTAAAAGACTTCGCATCAAAATGGGATACTTTAAAAACATTTATAAGTGATTCCAATTCCGAAGTTGAAGTTGTTGATGTTGACGAGCATGATGGAAACACAAATTCAAAAATTGAATGCACGAGAACTTGCCAAAACTGCGTTATTTGCTGTTTTTCGGTGCTGACAAAGTATAGGCTACATACGTTGGCATACTCCAACTTATATTGGGTATATAAGTATCTGTTGACACTTTCATGTACCCAAGTCAGATGCGAGACAACGTTCTCCAAATTAAAATATATTTTAAATAGATTAAGAAATTGCTTGTCGCAAGAGCACTTAGAGGCGTTTCTATTTATGTCTGTAGAAAAGGATATTCTTATAGATTTAGAAAATAATGAAATTATTGATGAGGTTGCTCAGAGAAGTTCCAGCCTTAAAAATTTATTATTATTTTAGTTAGGTACTAGGCATTTTTGTATTGAATCAACTTTATTTAGTATTTAGGTTGTTTCTTTTAGTTTAGTCTTTGTTTGTTTCTTGAAATTTTTATGGCATAACTGCTTATTAACACGTTAATAATTTCTTTAAGTGTTTTTTTTTTCGTTTTTATTTGCTATTAGTGGGCAGGGTTTACTTAAAAATCCGCTTTTATCCGATAAATGATCTCTCTTTAATGCTTTTCCCAAAAATTATCCTTGTGTAAGTCTATATATTTGTACAAATGGACTTTTTATTGAAATTCTAAGGTGCCAGGAGAAAGCGTGATCTTGAAAATTTTGAAAATTTTCGCCTGCGGCGCCATTACAAAGCCACTAGAGGGCCGATATAAAAAATCGAACTCGGGCCGAAAAAAATTCCCAATCCGGCCCTGCCAACATATCAATGAAGGAGTGTCGGTACCAAGATGGGATATAAAGCGCAGATCTTTTGACAAAGTAGTTCGAAACATTAACGGACACATTGATTTAAAGCTTATTTAATTAGGCTTATTGATACTAGAAAACAGTTAACTCGAGAGTTACGGGCTCAGATTTAAAACTTTTTTTTCTTTAATCTTATTTGTTACCAACTCAAATTTTAATACGTAATTTGAGTGATTTGAGATTTGAGTTTAAAACTTGAAGATTTAGCAGACGTGATCGAGTGAAGCGGATTGCGATGTTATTTGAGTTTGTTTTGAAAAAGAAGCTCGGAGTGTATCATTATTTTTGTTCTCCTTGGTATGTACATACCCAGAAATTGACTCACGCCGTACAAATTTAAATATGTTTTACTTTAATGAAACAAAATCGACACAATCATCAATTTGGTGAACATTTCATGACACAATACAAACTATCGATATCACCCCTCGAAAGCCTACCCAAGGATCAACTCCCTATTTATATAATAAAGGAAACAATTTTTAGATTAAAGCCGTGAAAGCTTCGACGGTTTTTAGTGCCCCGACTTTTCCGAATTCATTAATTTCAAGCTGACTGTCCCCCCGTGCTTCTATTCTTTTCACCGATCCACCCCTCTTGACCAACTAGCAAACATTTCGACACCAATTAATCATCCTATATTCCCTCCCCTACACCATTTACAACTTTCCATACCGACGGCCGCAGTTTGATGGCTTTCGAGAAAAACTTTTCAATTGTGTGTGTGCAACATACGCAATATATTTATGGTTCGTTTATAATGAGGAAAATAACTTCGCGGCATTGTTGGCTTTGTGTCCATTCTTTACCCCGTTAGAGTGCGATTTTGCGGCAGTCCCTGTCGCTTGAAAACAAGTACGACGTGTCATTAATTCGGTTCTGACTTCATTTTCAGTCGTTCTGATAGTTATTTCTTGGCCCTATCAAATGTATTCCATTCTCATGGTGACTACCAATGACTGGATTGCCTTTTTGATGTTCTACCTGAACCTGTACAACAACTTTTCGATCATCACCTGCGAATTTCAATTCGTATCGCTGTGTTGGATTCTCAGGACTAGGTTCAAACACGTACATGAAGAATTAAAAGATTTGGAAGTGAAAATACACATTGATTTAGGTGAGATAAGTTCTGAACTCAAGCAGTGGAATACCAGTTACAGAGTGGCTCAAAATATTATCTTGTTTATACAGGGTGTTTTACAAATTAGTAGATCGAGCACAGATTACTTGGTCGAAATTAAAAAGACTTTATCGTTTATAATTTGGGCGCCCAGTTTTTTAGATGCAGTTTCGACATATTTCGATACGTTTCTGATATTATTTTGGTGTATCTTGCAGTTTCAAGTTACACTCCGATCGGACCACCCCTGCGCCCAGCTGACGCAACCGAACATATCTTGTACTTTGAAAGTTTATACTCCCCTGTACACTATTTGATTCCACATATTTTTCTATAATTTAGGTGTACACTAAGTACCGATTACTTAAACATTTCCAAAAATGCAATAATGAATGCCCAAGTGCTAATATTACAAAAAAAATTCTTTGGGCCGCTCTGTAGGTAGGTATATACATTCATAATTTTATACAGTGTAATTTTTAGACGAATCTATACTGGGCAAAATCACTACAATTAAAGAATACCACAGGGTGTTAACAGAATGCTGTACTAGATTGAATTCTTTATATGAAATACCCCTTTTTGCAATTTTGGTCAGTTTGACACTGAATATATTGTTCACTTTGTATTTCGCTATATTTGGAGGTTTTAAGAGGGACTCCTCGGTCCAGGAAACGGAAATTCAGAGGATCAGCGGTACTATGGATTACGTCATATGGAGTTTTTATTATTTAGTCAGATTTGTGTTGGTATGCATGGTTGCAGGTCAAGTCGTACAGAAGGTATTAAAAATACTTGTCAATTTTTTGTTAAATTTGAAAATTAAAATGAGGTAGCAATTAACAGAAGTGTATAAGTACTGTATTTTACATAAGAACTATAGATGCCACTGTTGAAGTATGTTTTTAATTTTTCTACATTATACCTAGAATTTAATATTCCCACATTTTACATTCATTAATTATATTTTCAGTCAAATTATGCCAAGAAAATCATTTCCAATTTATTTCATAAATCTCTTCCAAAGGACATAAACGAAGAGGTAGCATAAATAAATAAAATTAATTGTATCTAATAATATTATTATCATTTTAAAGATATGGATTTATTTGGCCTACGTAACATGTAATAAAGTACAGTTCAATGCTTGTGGATTTTTCAATATCGACGTCTCTTTGATTACTTCGGTAAGTATTTAAGTATGATTGTATTAATGGATTGTAATTATCTCTCAATCTTTTAGGCCGTCTCTACTGGTGCTACTTATTTGGTAATTTTGGCACAGTTTCAGTCAAAGCGTTAAAGAAAGATTTCATCGTATAAATTAATTGGTGATATTTTGAGCATTTTGCTTGGTAGGCCGAGAGCTATTTTTTGATACTTGCTACTGAAATTATCTGTGTGCTGTGTGATTTAGATAATTTTATTTCGTTATTATTTTCTATCGAAATGAAAACTAATGCAATTTGTTTAGGACGCCGAGTGTGTAAAACCAATAGAAATAATATGAAAAAAATCTTGGATTATTTACATGAGATAAATTTGTTTGCCTTCATCACTTCAATCATAAACAAATTGTACTGTTTAAACAGTCTTGATAAAAATTGTTTTATTTAGTAATCCACTTGATTACTTTATGCCGTGTTCAACTCTAGAATAATAATAATGGTATTTAGCCTCTCTTCTAAATGATTCACCTACTGAACTTTATTAAATTGCATTTTTTTGACTAAATCATATGAGTAAATAAATATTACTCATAAATATGGACTAAACTGTAAAACCGAATCGCCAATTTCCATAGGCGGCTAGGCATTCTGGTTTTTTGTTTTTTGTTAAAAATATGTTGTTGCTTCTAACTTCCCAAATATAACTTAAACCTATACATTTAGTATTTAGGTAATACAACTACTACTAGTAGTACCTAGTGTTAGATATTTGCATTCTTAATAAGGCATTTTAATTGAAATCACTACTTACTTGAGACGCTTTGTTATCAAGAAACTTTTTGTCTTTTTCGGTATCACTTTTTCAGCGTTCAACACTCGAATAGGAATACAACAGAAGTCTTAAAAATACAGTTTGTTGTACACAATTATAATTTCACCAATATTTAAATTTTTGGCAATATTTTCATAATTTTATGGCACTGAACTAACTTCACGCGTTGTCTTGTTGCACTATCTAGATTAGAATTTAACAATTGAAAATAATAAAATTAATGATTAATCCAGTTACCTGTTGTATTTCTCCATCCGAGTTGATTCTTTTATTATAGTTTATCCATTCTCGTACAGGTAGCGCCACACTTAACATATTGGAAAATTAAAAAAAGATTAGGACTATTACCAGCGAAAATTGTATCTCAACGGTCAAAAACTCTTTTATTTTCACCTGCATATTAAATAATTATTGTTGATTGAATTGAAATAAATAATTAAGTGCATTGATTCTCGTATTTTATTGCAAGATTCATATATTTAAATTTGAACGTAAACGCAAGATGAAGAAGAAGAAAATTGTTCAAATTAAATAAGATTAGTTTTTCAGATGTGTTTAAAAAAATAAAATATCAACATGATAAAGAATGTAAACATTTTTCTAATTCTGAATAAAAATGTGAAGTATTTTCATACAAATTGTGGTTTACTGTGGAATCTCCCCAATTACGCTGAATTGGACGTCGATTATCTTTGTAACGAGAAAAACGTGGAGAACATTGCTAATAATATTATCAACAGGAAAGGTGTAGGAAATATCAAAGCGGTTAATGAATTAAAACTTAAATTAGACAATACGCAACCAGATGAAAAAAATTATGAAACACTTAGAAATAAATTTTATGAAGAGTTATTCAAGATTCCTAATAAAACTCACCCCGAAGTATTCACTTATGGAGGCAAACCAAAGCTTGTGAAGAATGTAAATTCAAAAAAGGAGTTTGACTTCAAACCAAGGGAATTTCATGAAATATCGAAACGATTAAACCTAGTGAGAACAGAACAGTTGGGAAATGTTTGTGGCAATAGAAGTTACTATCTTCTTGGAGAAATGGCTGAGTTAGAACAGGCTTTAGTCAGTTATTGCCTTGAACGACTTATTCATAACAAATTTCAACTTTTGTCTGTTCCTGATATACTACCGAGAGATGTTGTAGAACGATGTGGGATGAATACTAAGGGAGAAAGAAATCAGGTAATTTGTTAACATAGAAAATCAGATGTTATTAAGTAAATATGTTGTATACTTTAGGTTTATGCCTTAGATCCAGATGTCTATGGACCAGACTTATGTCTATCAGGAACCTCTGAGATAGCCCTTGCGGGATACCTTACGAATAAATTATTTTCCGAAGATGAACTACCTTTGAAATTAGCTGCCGTAAGTCGATGTTACAGGGCAGAAACTTCAAGTGTGTCGGAAGAAAGGGGAATATTTAGGTGGGTACATATTATTTATTATTAATAATGTTGCAATTAGAAATATTTTAGAGTTCACGAATTCACCAAAGTAGAGATGTTCATCGTTTCTACACCTGAGAAGTCTGACGAGGCTTTAGAAGATATAAGAATTTTACAAGAAGAGAATTTTGAATCATTGGGGCTTCATTTTCAAGTACTGGACATGCCTCCGCATGAGTTGGGTGCACAGGCTTATAGAAAATATGATATCGAAGCTTGGATGCCGGGAAGAGGTTTATACGGGGAAATATCAAGTTGTAGCAACTGCACCGATTTTCAGTCTAGAAGGTAAAATTATTTAGATAATTATGTAGAAGAATGGCATGGCGCAACGGTTCAGTAGAAATTGTCGAGATCTAAAGCCCTGTTATTCTTTTATATAATTACTATATTTAATAGCGATTTTGACGTTGAAAGTAGATTTTTCTAGATTTGGCATTAAATATAAAACGAGGGAGGGGCAAGTTGGCTTCGTTCACACCTTAAATGGTACTGCTTGTGCTGTACCTAGACTGCTGATAGCTCTTACAGAGACTGAACAAGGCAACAAGGGCACGATTCACATTCCCCATGTCTTGCAGAGGTTTATGAGAGGGAAAACCTCGATTGGTAGGCAGAAGAGTGTACCAGAGTTAAAGTTAATCAAAAATAAAAAGCAGTAACATCAAGAAGTATAATTATAAATAATATAAATTAACTCTTGATATTTAAAACATTTAACGACTTAATATAGATAATGATTTGTGAAATTTGTTGATATAATATATATGTTTTCAATAAGGACAATGTTTAATGATTCTTTATTGTTAGACCAGGCGGAATCTGTTTCAAAACACCCATGAATGGATGTTTTATATGTATCGCTAATTTTTGCTTTAATGGCTCCGAAATGATATAACTAAACAATTTCACTATGCGCGTGCTTCAAAACGTGTGCTAAACTTATTATTAAACAAATAGTGAACAATTTGGAAAAAATTCCATTTTTCTTCTATTTTTTCAACACGGTTCAAAAACTATTCATTTTAGAGAAAAATTGAAGAGGAAAAAAGATTTGTAATTAAATTTTACACAAGATATAACTATTTTCAAATAAAAAAATACAACATAATTTTTGCAAATATAGCAAAAACAACAAAAAAAAGTGGAAAAAATTACAATATTTTTGCGATATTTTAAAAAGATAAAAAAAAATTTATCTTCATACTTGGCAAAAAAAATGTATTTGATATAATAAAATATCACACCAATTTTTGTTAAATTATAATACTTAATACACATTTTAATATCAAAATTTCAATTTTTGAAGTGGGAAGTAGCTATACATATAGAGTAAAACTCAGAATTGAAATTTTTATTTTAAAATTTGTATTAGAACATTATTTGAGGTTATAAACAGATTTGTTTTATAAAAATGTGTAAAATCATAAATAATGGTACTTCTCTCTTGAGTATTTTCGTGTTTTTTTTTAATTTATGGGCACCCTGTATATCTAATCTAAGATGTTTGTATGACAGTCTCATTTTTTCGAGGGGCAGAACTTTTTATAAAGAGTGACATTTTTCGATAAAGTCAAAAACAAGAGTTTCTCCTCTTGTCAACTCCATCCGTGGACACACTGTATATACATTATTAATAAACTTTATTGTACTTAAATTCTCAAGATTTTACTAAATTATTTTATTAAAAAAGTAAAAAAAAAATAAAAAAATATTATCTTTTGCTTTCTTTAAAATTGTTTATTAACGATTTTTTGCATAAAATTTTCCTTTTACATTTTTTAAATAAGTCATTTCGATGAGAAATTCAATTCTCTACAAAATTTTTCCTATGAACTATACCGAAATTTTGCTTTGTTTTCGTGCTATATTTAAAAAAACTGCAAAAGTGCTTTTTTACCCCTATCTTCAATTTCAACCCTCTAATTTAATAGCACCCCGTGGTTTTTTCATTTTTAATAACCCCTCGAACAAGTCATGTGATGAAAATCCTTGAACGTTTTATTTCCTTCCTTTTTTTGCAAAAAAATTAGAATTAAAACGTATAAGGGTAAACGCGATGAAATTCGAAAAATTGGCTAAGTTTGAGCGGCCATACTTTACAACCTCTTGCATTGAAGGAAATTTTATCTATTTTTTTCTTTTTAAATCAATGTCACGATTTATGTCCTAGGTCACATAACTTAGGGTAAATCACTGCCACAGCTACAATGCACATGTATATTGTCAAACCTATGGTCCTATCAGATCTGACAATTGTTATAGTGTAATAATTTTGTGATATGACTCCTTAGGTCTGATGGTGTCAAACGGAATGTCCTCACTATCCTCTGGATTCTGTTGTTTTATAATGCCAAAATTTGTCAGCAATGTTTTATTACAAATAAAGGTAGGCATTTTTTGTAATTTTTTTTCTTTAAGATAAATTGCCTCACTTTTTCAGTGAAATTTGGTATAAAAGGGATTTTAGGCAGCCGAACATTATTTTTTACATAAAGATATGAAGCTAGGAATATCTCAAAGAGTCTTTCTTTTTTAGCCATTTTTTTATTGAAAGATTTTGAGAAAACAGATATTTATGAACCGTCACAGTATGTACTGTAAAATAAAATATATTTATTATATGTCGCTAAAATGTATCGTTTCTGAGGATAGTGTATTCCAATTTTCAAGAGCTGTTGTTCTCAGGCTAGACTCTGTGAGGGTGAACCAGCTATTAGAACCCCTAGGCTCACTCTGATGTATATTTCGGTTCTTATTGTTAGTTCTAACGCCGCTATGGACTGCTTCTCAGACAATAATGATTCATGTTTGGAAACATTAGATGCGACAAGTTACAGAGACCACTGCGGAATGTCTTAGAGGACCACCATTGTCTGCAGATTAGTTCCATCCATAGCGGCTTTAGAATCAACAATAAAAACTGAAATGAAATTCAAGACAGGGTTAGGGATTTTGATAATGGGTTCGCCTCAACAGAGGCTAGCCCAAGAACAATAAGGGCAGGTCAAAGATTCCAGTTAAGGCTAAGGAAATACAATCTAAGCCTGTAAGTGGTGGCGACAAGGTCTATAGTTTATGACGTAACAACTCGAAAATCATCGTATTATAAACACTCCAAAAAACCTGTAGAGATCGGTTTAATTGAATTATCTCAGAAAACGACAGTAAATTAAAAAAAATACAATTTTTTAAAGGTCTGCAACTTTTTAAGAAGCACGATTATACTAACAAAGAGAAGGTAAGGTAATCAGATTTTTGTAATTTTTTATATTTATGGTACGTGTAGTTTGGACCTTGAATAAGAATTTTCCGAAGTAGTTCGACGCAACGTTCATAAATTACCAAGATCTTGAAGTTTTACCTGCCAGCTAAATCCACTAGATGCGACACATTTTTCAACTGGGCGCATGGCCCAGTTAGTAGCGTTCAAGTCCGACGATCACAAGATCGCTGGATTGAATCTCGTCGCATCCCCTTCAAAACACGCTATCTGTTTTTTTATTCTTTTTTCTCATTTCGAAAATTATGAACAAATGAAATATTATAATAACTATATCTAGAAATAGAAAAAAAACAAACTAGATAAGAAAAAGAAAAAGAAAGAAAGCTAGAAGTTACAAGAATAACAAAATTCGTGCGACGAGACTCGAAAAAGCGATCTAATGAGTGTCGAACTCGAACGCTACCAACTGCGTCATGCGCCCTGTTGAAAAATGTGTTGCATCTAGTGGATTTAGCTGGCAGTAAAACATCAAAATTGATTATCTCGGTAATTTGTGAACGTTGCGTCAAACTACTTCGGAAAATTTTTGTTCAGAGTCCAAATTACACATACCAGAAATATCAAAAGTTACAAAAATCCAATTACCTTGGCTTCTCCTTGTAAGACGTTTGATCCGTTCATTTTCATCCAAGGAAAATTAGAGTATGATCAGTTCTTTCAGTGACACTGTATTGCCACTGTATAGTCCAAGGTGTGGTGGGTCAAAGAAAACATAGACACGATTTTTGTGTAATATATTTATTATTTTAACACCTTACATAACTATAATTATAATAATTTATAAACGGTAAGGTAAATTTAACTCTAAAAATTATTTAATGGGAAAATAGACATAATTTCGTGGTATATGTACAATTATTTACACATTCAACATTAAATTTATTACCGTGTTAGAGTACACCAACTGCTAATGAGAACCCTGTTCTCTTTGACACAAAAAATTTTTCATGAAATCGTGCTTACGAGAAATAAGCTGGCATTACTTTACGATGCATGGGCTACAAATAGTACATGCTGTTACATTTAACAGATACCTCAAGTGAACTAGACGGAAACACTTAAATAATTTTAAAAACTATCTCGCCGGCGCTCCACTAGATAGCCTCGAAAATAAGTATTCGGTGCAGTGAGGTCGAACGATGTAATAAATTAGTTCACCTAATGGTTTTATTGTGTTGCCTGGATCGATGTCTTTCATTTTGTCAAAAAGTCTTGTTAGGTGAAATCACAGCCATTGGACTACAGTGAGCGAGACACTGTTAGCAGGCTGTTTGACTAGAAAAACCTGGTCAGACTTATCCGTAATCGTCGTACAGCCACTATCCCCCTCCTCTAATTGTCCTTCGTTCCGTTTCTGGAAGAAATACTCTAGAACGACGTGCATCGAAACTCATCTACAACACCAGTTTTACTTTGGAGTCTGGGACGTGTTGAGATAGACAGCGGGCAGGATTTTTTCCAAAAACAAAAGGGCGAAATTATGGAACTCATTCAGGAACGACAACATAACCTGTCGATTTATGTTATCGAAGGAAGAGCGTGGCTATCCCTTGAAATGAGCACCATAATATCCTAACATTGTTAACCTATGCTATCCTAAATTTTTAAGTAATTGAAACTGTTTCCTTGGCAAAGAGGGCCTTGAAATTCAAAGTCCTCGGAATGTGTGTTAGGCAGACAGGGGTTGAACGGTTACAAATTTGAGCAAACGCTACAAATACTTTAAGAAAGTAAAATCATAAATATCTACAACTACGAGAAATGTCCTTTTTCATTTTGCACTGTATCGGTTACAGAAAAAACTGTATTGAGTTCAACAAAGGCGGTGGTAAGAACCTGTTTCCCCGAAAATTGCCTGAAGGTCAGTGCATTTACCTTCGTAAAAGTAAAAAAAAAATTGAACAATTTTGCTCATACGTCGAATTTCCTAATTTGGCAGTTATTTCAATCTCTTAAACCAGCTCTGGTTCCGTTTAAAAATTGGTGTCGTAGTCAGATCTTCTTCTTCCGTATCCGCTGTGGCTGCTTCCCGGGTTATTTCCGTAGTAGGCATTGTAGTAATAACCGTTCCACTCGGATCTCCAGCTGTCGTATAGGTTCGACATGCTGTTGTCGTGAATCGAACCATTAGACCTCTGAAAATAAATATTGCATTACAGTGGACGAGATATAACCTATAAAGTATATGTCATAGCTTAAATGTCATTGCTACACAGTGCCTACTGAGACAAAGCTTGCTTTGTACCTACTGCTTTGTATCAGTAGGCATTGAGGAATGACATTTAAGATATGGCATATAATTTATAGGTTATATTTCATCCACAATCAAAATATGTTGAAAAATATACATTCAAATAGCTCACAGAAAAGTTGTTCCTCACAATATCATTTGATAAAATAATTCACATTGTTATTAAAATTCGAATTATCGTACCTTTTTGGGGGGTTTCTGATCATATCCTCTGTCATTCCAAACGTCTTCCATATTGTAGAGGTCCTCAGCGCCGTAGTTATCAAAGCCGCCCATGTGGTTTTTGTTCAGTTCATTCAACATATCCTCGGTGAGAGGAGTGGGGTTCTTCTTTTTAGAGTTTTTCTGCCTGTTCACCAGCTGTACGGAAACAAATAGTCGATGTATTTAATTATATCGAAGAATCCTGTAAAATATTACTCACCACTGTAACCCCAAAGATAATGACGAATAAAAGGGACGCCAGTCCTATTACAATCACGGCGATGGCCCATTGCGGTAAGAGTACATCGTTTTCGGCGTACAGCACTGTTGGGTAAATCTGTTTCGGCAACACTGAAAATGGTTTTTAAATTAAGTAGGTTAAAATAAAGTTTCTAATGCTCTCAAATGACTTACCTATGAAGTCTGTGTATTTTGGATCAACGATGAAATTGCCCAAGGATAATTTTCCTTCTAATTTTGCAGTTTCGTTCAGAGATTTGCCTTCTCTGGTAGGAGCGGGTTTCGATAGAGCACTGTCGAGAGAATCGTGGAAGAGACGTTTCACTTCTAGTGTATCGATGGACCTTCCCAAGTCGTTTAGTTCTACCAAATAGTCCACCAAGACACTTCCTTCGCTAAAAATGTAACAAGTTTAACAAAATGGTTCCTTTATAAAATCGTCATTCGATGATACTTTGTTTCAAAGTGAAATAGTACTAAATGAACGTCTTTGAGCCACATCATTGAGATCTCAAGTTGAGCGAGTTATCTTAAGACATACAAGGTCGGGCAATTGGAGCAAAGTACAGAAAAGTTTAAAGAACAATAGTAGTTCAATGAAACGCAAATATTTAGAGTTTAAAATGAAATAATGTTTTTGAAAACGCTCAAAATTGGTCTGAGGCCAATGGAATCCTAAATTATAAAGAAATAGCTTAATAGCTAGAAATTACTGAACCTAACCAAACTTGAAACATAACCTGACATAACCTAACAAAAATTTTATACGACATACCATTTTACAGGAAAATTTTCATGCGGAAAGAATTATATTTTCAATATTAACATATTTTACTTGCTTGTATGTGTCTTATACATATAATACAGTTATTTAGACAGTGCAAAATGCAGATTTTTTACCCATTATGCTGTCTACCTAGTCTATTTTTAGGAAAATTGAATTAATGCATAGGGATTTCCATAATTTCTATGAATATTAGAAAAGCTAATATGTTTATGACTGATTTAAAAACACGTAAATATTTACAAAATTATGACAGTTTTTTGTTGTAGATTTTAAGACTTACCTAAACCCATCGATCCTGATTTTCTTGTACCATTTACTGAGATAAGGCGACGAACTGTATACATCGTCGAGCTAAAAACAATTTCAAAATCAGCCTTCCCGCCAGTATTAAAATTTATCCAAAGATACCTGCGTCTGAACCTCATTTGCCAAAATCTGCCACTCTTTCGTGTTCCTGTCTAACAATTCCGGCACCCATTTAGCACCTCCCACGAGTTTTATCGTGCCTGCTAGATCGCATTCGTCCACGCAGACTCCCGGTGTGGTAGGCCTAGGTGTGGTAGTTGTAGTGGTCGTTGTAGTAGTGGTTGTGGAAACAGTGGTCTCAATGGTTTGAGTCGTGCTGGTGGAAGCTGTCCTGGCCGCTTCTAATAGTTTCTCGATGGATATAGGGGTCGTAGAAGGAGTTGGCCAGCCGGTAAATTCTGTAGTAGCCCTGGGAGAGTTACAGAACTTTAAGTACAGGTTGTTTTATGTAATAGTATAAATAACTTTATTTCCAACAGGTTTGAGACCTGTTTGCAGGAAATATTTGTTACTAAAATAAAAAAAATAAAAGTATTTAAAAAAATGTGTAATTGAATAATGATAATTCGTTTTTCTTGCAGTACCGTATACTCTGAAAGGGAATTTATCTCACTATAGACATTAAATTGCAATTATTTATTAATATCATTGATAAAGATAAGAAACAGAAGTGGTCCCAAATTGGACCCTTGTAGTACACCAGAATTAGTTTTATATGTAACTGAGGAATATTTCCCAAGTTCAGTAAATTGTTTAAGGTGACACAAATGTGAGTTAAACAAAGAGATTAAATTATTAGAAAGCAACATAAATAGTATATTTTTTCTAAAAATTTCTAAAAATCCGGACATGCATAATAACTTTGCAAAATTAAGTAAAACTGATGTGGGTCGATCTATAATTCCATAAAATACTTGGTTCAGTTTTCTTCAACTAGGTACCTTTAGCAACTTTCCACATATTAAGAAATGCCGAGAAAAATATCGTTTTATCTAACTTCATTTGCTTACCTTGATGGCCATCCTTTCAGAATAGTCGGCGACGTCGGTTTTGCTGGTTCGTCATTGTTAGAACTTCTAGGTGTTGTTCTAGTAGCAGATTTCCTGGTGCCTCCACCGGGTCTGCTTGGGAACACGACTTTGAAGCCTCCGGATGGTTTTGCTGTTGTTGACGTAGCTGGATTTTCGGAAACGCCTTCCTTAAGTCCAGGTGGCAGCAGGTTCGATGGAACATTCTTTGTTTCGGCGTCATTATCTGACGATTTCACTTTCGGTTTGTAACCTGGTGGTAAGAGGGCGCTAATGTCGACTGGTTGTGGACTAATACCTGAAAAAAGTTCAAATACTGATTTTTTTCAAGTTTTTATAACATTATTTTTTTTGACTTACCATTGGAAGAATCATCTTTCGGTGGTTTGTATCCAGGGGGTAAAAAGGCGTTGATATCGACAGTCTTTACTTCCGGCTCGTTTGGTTTCTGGGTAGTTGTGGACCGCAGCTTGTATCCAGGCGGTAGAAACTTGGACACGTCATCGGCTTTAGTGTTTTTAAAGATGCTGCTTTCTGTCGTCGTTGTCGTTTTTGGTGGTTTGTATCCTGGAGGTAGGAATTTAGAGATATCGTCAGCTTTCGTGTTTTTAAATACGCTGCCTTCAGTTGTTTTTTCTTCGCTTTTTCGAAGTTTATAACCCGGGGGTAAGAATTTTGAAATATCGTCGGACTTTGTGTTTTTGAAAATGCTACTCTCTGTGGTTTTCTCTTCGCTTTTCGGGAGTTTGTATCCTGGTGGAAGAAACTTGGATAAATCATCCGCTTTAGTATTCTTGAAAATGGAGCTTTCCGTGGATGATTTTTCTGTCGTTTTTTCATCGCTTTCTGTTGTTGACGAGTTGTCTTCAGGGAGTTTGTACCCAGGAGGCAAGAACTTGGAAATGTCGACATTGCCTTCACTTGCCTCCTCCACTTTGGGCGGTTTAACTTTACTCAAGATCTCTTCTAGAAGTTTCGAGCTCTTCTCATCACTCGTTTTAAGTTTGTAACCAGGAGGCAACAAAGAGGAAATGTCTGATTTGGCTTGCGGTTGGTCACTTTGAGGCTCGTTCACATTTACAGTGCTCTTCCTGTCTTGATATTTCGATTTGAAACCGTTTCTGTCACCAGGTTTAGGCCGTTTAGTAGAAGTCGGTCTGTTGGCGGGTGAGAATTTTCTTATGTTGACTTGCGGGTAAGGCGCTTTAGTAGTGGTAGAAGTCGTTATGCCCATGTCGACCATAGTAGTGACGTCCACAGTCATGTTTTCTTTGATCACTGCAATGTTGTTACCTAATCCACCTGTTGCATTAAAAAAAATAATTTGTAACATTAAAGGACAACAGCAAAAAACAAAATTTATACCTGTGAGCAAACCGCTAGATAAATCGGACTGTACTCTGTCCAGTTTATCGATGAGACTCTCAGTAGATGTTCTGACTTTAGTAGAAGTTGGAACGGTGGTGTCTTCATCAGTTTTAATCTCTTCCCCAGAAGTTTCTTCTTTTGACGTGTTGTTAACGATTTCTCCAGAGTTATCCTGATCCTGATAGTACTCCGCACTGCCACTATAATCTTCCTTAGAGGTGTTTTCGTCTTCATTTGAATGTTCGTTTAATAACTTGACTCTTTCTTCTTGTTCGACAATAGAAGAGGGCAGGTATCTGGAAGAAAATGTAAAGTTTATTATGGAAAAAAACGTTAAGGATTATTATTTATTCTACCTGGCTCCAGACACACTCCTACTAGTCTGTACAGAAGCCACCACCACCCACGTATCTGTAGTGTTCTCGTTGCTGCCGAACATGGACGGCTCCGTTGTCGGCTGTAACGCCTTGGTAACAGGGGGTGCTGGCGTTGCAGACGCTATAATTGTGTTGTTCACTACAGTTTTGCTGGTAACAACAGAAATAACCACTTCCGGTTCGTCCATTTCCTCCTGACTGCTGATGATCTTATCACCCTTCTTGATAACCACTGAAGAGGACATTGACACGGTCATGGGTATGGTGGTGCTCTCAATAGCGGACTGAGCTTCAGTGCTGTCGACGTCGAGGGTGTCCACGAAGTCGTGGAAGTCGTACTCTTTCATTTTTCTGGTGGGTTTCATGGTTATCACCTCGTAGGTGGGGTCTGGTTTTTCGGTGGTTTCCATGGGCAGTTCCTCTTTCAATTCTTCAAGCTGCAAAATAATTAAAAACAGTACAGGTTATAATTCGTTTTATTTTAGACTGCACTTTTGTCTACGCCGTTACTGGGCAGCTCCAGAATTCAATTGTTACGTGTTTCTAAAGGCCTCATTCAAAGTATATAAAGAATCTAATAAGATATGACTTTATTATTATTTACCTGTTTCTCTTTGCTGTTGAATACTTCAGCGCTATGCTCAGAATATTCGTTTTGTATATCGTTTTCGTTGCTGGTATTATCCTTATCTTCGTCTTCGTCGTACAATTCATCGGAATAGCTATATTCACTAGGTACCTCGGTATTGTGTTCAGTATCTTCCTTAAAGACAGTACCATCTTCAACATGTGTCTGATAGGTGGTATTTTGTTCATCATTCTCCTGAAAAGCGGTATTTTGTTCAGAAGCTTCTTCCGGGAGAGTAGTCAGTTCTTCGTGATTTGGCATTGTTGTTAAAAGAGGGGTGGTGGTGACATTATGACTGACAATCTCCTCAGCAGAATCACTGTTTTGACTAACGAAATTCACAAATGGCACATCTGTCGTAATCAGAGGCGAAGTAGTTTCGATTTCGGTAGTCTCTTCGTCGTTCGATTGTATGACTTCCACACCATCGTCGTTGTTCTGTCCGAAACCGTCTTTGAGGGGTTCTTCCAGCAGGGGTTCGAGGTCAAAGGATTTTAAGGGTAAGGGTGTAGGTATGTTTTTAGGCAGGAATGGCTTTTTCTCGGACTTGAAATTGTAAGATAAAGGCTTTCCAGTGGGTTTGGAGGCGGGACTAAAGTTGTTTTTGCGGGTAACAGGGACGGTAATACGAGTGGGAGTGGTGGGTTTTGGACTGAAGGGTATTTTGGTGGTGATGTAAACATCACCGTTGTTGTTTACGAAGTAGTCTTTGACCTGGCCCCGTGTTGCCTTCTTAGAGGTACTCGGAGCGAAAATTCTGGACCTGTAAATGAATATTAAATAATTTATTTTAAAAGTACATAGCAAGAAAATAATAGCACGTTGGATATTAACCGGTACGTGGCATGTTTTATTTATTTGTTGATAATTCAAAATTTGCTCTGTGATTTTACCTGTGATTTAAGAAGCTAGGTCTGGCATTCGGCTGTATGGAATTCTCACTAGGTCTGCTGTTCCTTGTAGTGTCATCTTGCAAACTACCGAACGAATTCGAAGTGATTTCCTGCGATTTTTGTGGAAAAGCCTCGCTGGGTTTGAAATCATCAAACTGTGGTGGAGTCTCGATGGGGTTTTGCAGCGTAATTTGACCCAGGAAGGTTTCCGTCTGAGAGGGATCGTGATTATGGTGGCTCTTTGCGAAAAGGTGAGAGTAGTTTGGTCGCAGGGTAGTCGGTTTGATCACCTACGGATTAATTAAAAAGACATTATTGAGTCTGATGATATGTTCAATAATAAGGATGTTTGTCATGGATCATGGGGATATCGAAAACTATATGACACGCGTGGCCTGTGGCACAAATTAAGAAAAAATTGTTCCATTGCGGGACCATTTCTGAGATAATTTGAAAAATCCGAATTTTTGATTTTCTATTTTATACTTTGATGTTATTATCTATAGCAGAGTTACAGCAAAAAGAACACTTCTTCACAGCATTTTTTAAAAATGTGTCAAATATTTACATGGTTATTTATTTATTTTATTTATTTATTTATTTATTTATTTATTTCCTTTTACTGCAATATACACTTAATAATATTAGAAATGTTATTAAGTACAATACTATGATATTACTTAAGTTAACTTATTTAAATTAAAGCCAATATTAAATTATCCTATAACATTATATGTTGTTTTTTATATATTATATAAATCGCAATAAATATATGATAATAATTTTTGTATTTTTATTGTACAATAAATATTACGTAATTTTTTGATCGTACATATTATAAAGTTATATTATACCAACTTATTTAATTTCACATTTTTTTTAAACTGTGTACCTATTTATTATTGATTAGTATGCTAATAAAGCAGTTTGTAGAAGACGATGGTAGAAAAACATATAATTTTTGTAAAAATTATTTCTAAACAATTTAAATTTACCGCCTGGTTTATTTCTGTGTGCTCATTGGATTTTGTCCTATGACATCACCTGAGACCAGCTCAAATTTCAAATTTGTACTATATTGACACCACAGTAGCTATATAGGTATTATAGAAAAACGGAAAATTTAAATTGTAACCGTTATTTCCACATCACATTTACATATGGTATGAATCGTGTCAGTATGTAGTCTAAAAGTGAGCATAACTTTCAAGTTTGAAGTTTGAAAACTGTTTTGCATAATAAAATTAATGATGTGTGGATGTTTAGGCCACAACAGCTCTAGATTATTAGGAAAATGACTAAATTTTGCATTTTCGTGCCAATATATGTCATGATTTCGTCAGTCTTGGTCTCAAATGACGTCACCACTTGCGCGTAAGCACACCATACTATTTTTACGCCATGGGCTGTTCTAGAATATGATGTAATATGACATATCAGGAGCATTACTTCAAAGTTGAAAGACTCATATCCCTATGATAGACATCCTTATCTTGTGCATAGTCTATGACTTACCTTTGAAGGGCGGAACCCAACGGGAGTGTTAACCACCCTGTTGGCGGGCTGGTGGTTCTGGAAAACGAAGGGCACGCTGTCTTCTCCGAAGGGCTCGTTCGTTGTAAACCGATACTGGGGTAACGTCTGTTGCAGGTGCAGGGGTAAATCAGAGGTCTGCAGGTCTTGCGTGGTGAGATCTCTAGTGAAGTACGTAGAAGACGTATCGGGAACCTGGAAGCCCGCGGGGGCCTGTCGGAAGGGAATTATGTTGGGGGGTTGAAACTGGTTCTGGTTCTGCTGGTAGGGAATGAACTGGGTGTTGGCTGGGGCCGTAAAGAGGTAGTCTTGCCCTGGAAATAAAAAAAAAATCATTAGTAAGTATTCCTTCGGTAATTTTAGGCTACAAAAGGCTTAATAAGTGGTTTTTGGAATACAAAATTCTAAATTTGGCTTGAATAATAAATTCGTTTCAAATTTCAACACCCTGTATCTCGAAAACCACTGGTTTTAGCCTTGGCTCATTAAGGTTTTTAATGCAAAATGACTTGAAATTATAAAAATATAGACTTAGAAACAACCTGCATTGTACTACCAATACTGTTGGAGCACCAAAGAAATTTAAGAGGCCATATTTGCGAACTATATTATTCTGTTTGTCTTTAAAAAGCGTAATATTACAGGCCGAACGGTATAATGGCCGTAAAAACAGTTTTATGAGAACACTAAAAGTTCTTCTCGTATCATGCATAATACACAAAAAAGGGAAAGCCAAAAGGAGCGTTATGATAATAGAAATTGTTATGAAAACGTGATCGGAAGGAATTTATTTGTTATGCAAAACATTCTAAAGAGAAGTTGAAAAAGTGTGATAAATATTCCTACTTTATTCCGCAACGGCAGCGTTATTGATACGTGTGCATAAATAAAAATATATTTACGGGGCCAGGATAGCTTTCCTCTGCTGGCTTCTACAAGGACATGTTTGGCGCAAGGCGGATGTTTATTGTTCTACATTACACAATGGAAATTGTCATTAGAATCGGTGTCGATTGTAAATATGTTCCTATTTTTGAAAGTTTTACAAGGCCAGGTTTTCTTTTAAAATTTTTACATTATGGGACTAGATTCTTTATCGGTATGTTATGCTCTTCGAGCATATACTCCTAGAGGCAGCCATCAGTGCTGAGAAAGCGCGACTGGTGTGCGACAGACAAAGGAAAATAAAAGGACATGCTATCTCTCTCGCTCCGCGAGCTGGATTGGTCGGTGCGTGCTCCCCGCCCCCCATGCCAGTGACCGCCCTGCACCTAAGCCCCGACCAATCAGCTCGTGGAGCGAGAGAGATAGCATGTTCCTTTATTCTCCTTTCTCTCTCGCACACCAGTCGCACTTTCTCAGCACTGATGGCTGCCTCTAGGAGTATATGCTCGAAGGTTCTGCTTTATAAACTTTTAGTCTCAGGGGGCTTAGTTTTTGAGATATACGACGTTATATTTTTGAAAGAAAAAAATACGTGATCTGCGCTATCTCTCGTAAATCTACAAATGAATCCGAATGAAATTTGGTAAAACTTATAAATAAATGAAGAGAGGTATTTTATTAGTAGTTTAGTTGCGTTCCTTTAATCAGAGAAACTCTATTTTATTTTGAAAAGTAGATGGTACTGTCCAAAATATACCAAAACCTATTTTTTGGAAATAAAAATTGATTAATTTTTCGAATTTTTATGGACATGAGATCTTTCCAATTGTAATCAACAAATTCATAGGGGTTCAACGACGCTTAACATTTTCTGATTAAAAAATATATCAATATATTTAAAAGGGTTTCGCTTTCAATTTTTTCTGACACTGTTTCGTGCTCGCGCTTTAATAACGTCAAGGAAAATCTACTCTCCAGGGAAATTTTCTGGGGCCGAGTTCCAAACTCAATAAAAAATCAACGCAATACAGAAAATAACACCCAATACTCAGTAGATTAAACTTTTCAAACACTGTATTAATGTTTTTTGCTGCGAAATTTTCATTAAAGCCTTAAGTTTCTCCTGTACTTTTTATACTGCTAATACCTACAACGATTTTAATCTGGAGATTTTCCCTTTTTCTTCTGTTATTAAAAGTTTGTAATCCCCCCTTTTTATTGCGAAAGCAGAGGCGGGCGGTGTAAGTTGTGTACAAAGTTTGGATTTTGCCCTTAATGGGGCAATAAAGTATTTTAAATACTTCAGTAGGTCGTTCAAATTGCAACTTTTCAAATTAATCAACTATTTTTCATAAGCTTAATTATGTTATTGGTAGAGCTTGACAATTTGGTGCCTAAATAAGGCGGAGAGGTGGGGATCCGTATCGTAACTCAGTGGCGTTTCGTTAGTGTATTTTACGCGTTTATACGTGCCGCTACATCTGAAGAAATTTAGAAATATCTCGTTCGAGCTGCAGCTGTCAAATTCAGTTCAAACACATTTTATTTAATTGCAAACAAAGACTAAGTTTGTTGTAGTATTCGATTTCCTTATTTTTAATTTAAAATATGACATATTAATTGTAGAACTTTTTCGCAGTTATAAATATCTGCTACCTGTGTCTAAGACTGTTTGCATGTGACGTCATAACTTTATTGGGCCAACCTCATCAGCAGAAATGCTTGGCCTAAGACATCACAGACTCGAAATTACATTTTTAAACACAATTTCAGATACGCATTGGAGCTATATTTCTTCTTCGTGGCAGCCGAATAAAAAATCACTTTATCGATACGTCTACATATCCCGTCGAACGGCGTCTCGACACAAAACACGAAAAAATCGAGCCCCTTTTTCCATAAAGCACTCACAAATGGGGTATTAAGTGGGATTTATGCGGCAGACCGACATTTACATGTTTCACAGCCTCCTCCACCTCCCATCTTTATTTATTACTTCCCGATCGACGTTCCTGGGTTTCCCTTAAGATTGCGTTGTGTAGTCGGGCCAAAACGGCGGCGGTTATAAAAGGCCGGGAAAAGGGGTTTTCATTCCCGCTTCTTTATTATGCGAAATATCAATAAGTGAGAAGATATTTCTTTTTTAAATATATTTGCAAAAAAGATATTTCGACATTATATTTTTTAATATTATGTGTGCACTGTGTTTGACTAGGGCGGTTTCCATCTTTTTATAACATCACTAAACTAAAATAGGTTAAAAAAATATGCCCCGGCATTTCTTTTATTTACAGCCATATATGCAATATTATTGATATTTCAAACTTACAGTAAGTTCGAAAGAATAGATATTTACACTATAGAGGAGGTAAATTATACTTAACTACTGCGTGGTGTATAACATGCAAATGCTGCCTGTGAATTTTTATTGCCCGAGAAGTCGAAGGTGCGCTACGGACTAGCATATAGAAATTTCAAAGAATGGTGCCAAAACAAAAATACTTACTTACTACTTACTTATTTGAAATCTATTATTTTGTTAATTTCTCACGCAATTATTTTTTTTTACAAAAACCATCACTTGCATTTAAAAGGCATGAAACACTTTCCACCTCGGTATGTAATACACTATTTTTATTTAGATCTCGTCGAAGTTCTAGAAAAGTAAGTCTGGTTGCCTAACATTCAGGATAGTTTTAAGGTAAGATAAGACCAAAGCGATAGTTTTCGTTAAATTATATAATTAACTGACTGCTGCTTATATGCTTACACTCAAAGAAAAAATATATTTTTGCCCATTTATTATGTACATTTGTGGTCAGTAAGGAATCTTGTATTCATAACATCCTTGCCAAGTGAAAGAACGACCTTGGCAAGGCCGTACATTTTTAGTTTTCCGCTACAGTTAACGCGATTAAAATATTTTTATATGAATATATTATTAATGCTTGATTGTGGTGAGGGGCGTTAAAAAAAGCAAGGTCGTTAAATCTTTTACATGCAATGCAAGTCGCATTCATACTTCCATATGTGTAGGAGCCTATTTGGCAATACAAGATATAAAAAAGTACATTCAATTTTACGATTGTTGTCGCGTGGCAGCTGGTTTCATTTTTGCGCAAGAAGAAAACTGGAGCAAGTGAAATTTTTATATCTAACATTGCATATGCAAGACGTTACGTTTGTTATTTTGAACATATGTCTACAGTAAACTTAAAAGCGAGTGGTTTTGTTATTTAGCATCTTTGTGACCTTTTCCTGTCTTTGTCTTTGAGCTCAAGAGCATTTTAATATGAGTAGGACACAATGTAATAAAAGTGAATGCAACGAGTCGCTAGGAACATTGATCTGGTTAATTAACTGAGAAGAACAAGGTCGACGTTTGATCACACTTTACGATGGCTCCGCAATTTTGGAGATGGATTTTCGTTGCCATTTTTGTATTTGGCCTGTCGATTTTGGTAATTGCTTGTGTTGTTTGAACGGCTCCGACAGTTGGATTAGAAACATTCTTGATAATTTCAACACTGGCGATATGCTAATTTTAAGATAAATGAACGCTTTTCAGCCACCGGGTAGAAAGTAATTAATTATTCGTAGCATACCAATCAAGAAATGAACATCCTTCTAATATATATTCCGATATATAAGGAAAATAGATTTCCTCCTCGTGAAAATCGTACCTGAGTCACACACCAGCTAATTTTCACCGATCCTTTCAATGAGATTCCAGCTGCATAGCGTCTAATTTGCTCCCCTTCATGCTCGATAGATCTCATTTTAGTTGGCGAAGGGTAGCTAGTGCTCGAACAGCGAAACACCTGCTGATTTTTCTACTGAACACCCTCCTCGTACGGGCATGTTTTATTTGTTTCACCGGGGGAAGAGAGAATCGCGAACGTTTTAGGAAGGGAATACAAATGATGGTATAATCACGGAAACTACGTAGAAGCTTTTACACGGAAAGAAATCGAACAGATATATGCTCTGTGAGATTGTAGTCGAGAAAGTGTATTATGTGTTGCTCTATACACACATATAATAATATACATACATGCATATTTTCGGACAACCAATCAGATTATTTGCGTGATATTACACGAGGTATTGTTACAGTGAGTAGAGAACTTTACATCCGATTCTGCAGTATATCTGGATGCAAATCTGAAGGTAATAGAATTTTAGATTTCTAGATGAAAAATTTGAATCTAGGCCCACAAAAGACAAACTCAAAGAAGTGTTTTCTGTTGCCGATGAACGTTAGAAAAATGTCCATAAACTATTTTAGTACAGTCATTGAAGCTTTTCACCTCCAAATTCTTTGAAACTGAACCGATCGACTTGAAATTTGGCACATAGTTAGAGAAAAGGTCAATAAACATTAGTGACATAGCACCGATTGACGCTTCTACCCTGTTGAGGGTTCTCG